GGTTTTTTTTTATCATTTATAGAGAATGTTAAAGGATATAGGGCTATTTCTTATGAAACATTACTTATACAATTCATAAACAGTAAAATTATTTTGTTTCCATAATCTTATAACTATTTCTCAGAGTTCAAACATAAAATGTCTCTAGTCATTTAACAAACAAAAATAAAACAAATGTTTATAAACAGAATAAAATGTTCCAGAACAAAAATATGCTGATCTTTAAAGTACATGTATACAGGGTTTAATGTTTTGATTGCGCATTTCACGGGTATTTCTGTTATACAGGTATTATTGAAATATTCTTTTTCAAATTTTGTTAACTACTTTCTGCAATGTATTTGGCGGGCAGTTCTAGAATTTTGCACCTTTACTAACTTTTTTTAATTGAATGAATACACATTCATGCCAAAATCTATGAATAGTATTGAGATGGGCTAATTTTCCTTAAAACCTTGCAATTTTGTCTTTAATAAGTTACAAATGACCATTACTGAATAATGTACAATATCACACTTTGAAAGTGTTTAATTTATTACATTTTATTATTTTTTCTTCAAATTCAGTTTTTTTGGGGGTTTTTTTTTCCGCAAACTAACACTTTGGTTCGAAAATGAAAATTATTCCTTTGAAAAAAGGTAGGTTTTTTTTTTTTTAAGTAAGAAAGGGCCATAACTGAAAGACCAATGGGAGAATTGGATGAAATTTGGAGAGCCTTATTTGCTATTAAATATGCACATCCCTGCCAAGTTTCAAGAAATTGCACAATATGGATCTGGACATGCAATGCCATTTCAATATCCTCCTTCTGATTTTATGGACTGGCGATCATCAATGGTCATTTACTAATGACCACGCAAGTTCCTGAATATAGACTACAGACTAAGTCTTGTTATAATTATACATACAAACCTATGCTGTTCACTTATGACCCATCCTTGGAATAGCCATAGATGGATACACTAATTACTTATCCACAGACACTCTGCAAGCATTGCGAAATGTTTAACACCAAACACCCTGGCACTCTTCATTAAAACACTTAAAGTAACCTTTGATATTAAGCTACTTACCGTAGATACACAGCCCAAAATGTTCGTGCCGCTGGTGCAAACCTTGACGTCACAAACATACTTCCAGCATAATCATTCACAAGTCAAATTACATTTCCGTGAATTAAATTCCAATTCAGTCAATGTGTTTCACTGTCGGGCGGGAAATACCCAGAAATGTGCACAAAATGACAGAAAAGATCTGTTCTACTGCACCATACTGGGAAACAAACGTTCAATCAAACTCATAATGAAGTGTAATTTGTATACACTCCTCATTATTCACAATGTTTCTCAGTGCACCATTACCTTAAAATTTCCTTCATTTTCCCAAATTAGTTCCATCAAACAAAATCCCGAGGACATTTTACGAGCGGGAAATATTGAGCATGTTTGTAATTGTACATTACAGATAAATATCTTTTCTTAATATTAAAACAAAACTACCACAGCTCTTTTAATTGTATCCATAAACACTTGCTCAAACCAATACAATACACAAACCATTCAAATCAATCGACGTATTATATCTTTACATCAAAGAGAAACCGGTCGGACAAACAATCATATCCAAGTAAATCCCAACACTCACAGTCATAATCTATACCAATTAAATGACCAGGACGCACGAAGACGCAAACGGCCCGGCTATACAATTGCATGTTAAGTGGTAACATATATATAACATATACATATTAGACGATTACTTACTACTCCTCGCAAACAAACTAAAGGAAACAAGAGAACCACAGCCTAATGACTTTTTCTGGCGGTCCCTCCAGACCAAGTTCAGAATGTGTAATAACTTAGCATTCGTACGAGAAAAAACATCAGAGACATAATGCCGAATGGCCAATTTTTTCTTCCTCCCCATGTAGAGCAATAAATTACTTCTGAAATATGCAGCAAAAACTTGGCAACGACTTTTTAAGAGTACTACTAGCACAAATTATGGTATTTATTTATTCATATTTACATAACTTTACAGTTCCTGTCAATGATCTTATGAGACCCATGTCGATTCCTTTCTCAACAAACTTCAGTAGGTGATGGCATTACAAATGAAGGCCAAAGCTTTTATTATATCTTACTATCTTTGGGTTAATTGTACAAGACCCATGTCAATATGTTTATCAACAAATTGCAGTATTGAAGACATCAAAGATTTAAATGCTGAAGTTTTTACATAAATTACTGTTCCATATTATGACCGTGCAAGACCCATGTCAATTTGTTTATTAAGAAATTGCAGCATTGAAGGCATCAAAATTTTAACTGCTAAAGTTTTTACATAAATTACTATTCAATACCAATGTCAATTTGTTTATCAACAAATTGCAGTATTGAAGACATCAAAGTTTTAACTGCTGAAGTTTTTACATAAATTACTGTTCAATACCAATGTCCTTCAAGACCCATGTCAATACATGTTAAGAATTATCAGCAAATTGCAGCATTGAAGACATTAAAATCTTTATTGCTGAAGTTTTTACATAAATTTACTGTTCAATACTGTGATGGTAAAAAAGATCCATGCCAATATGTTAATCAATGAATTGCAGCCGCTATGACATCTAAATTTTAACTGCTGAAATTTTTATAAAAAAATTTACTGTTCAACGACCCATGCCAATTTGTTTATCAAAAAATTTCAGCCATGAAGACATCAAAAGGGTCCACTGCTAATGCAAGAAATGTCAGTAATAAAGTTCCAGTTAGCCCGCCTTTGTGCCACTAGAATGCAAATACTTTTTGTTTGTTTTTTCTTGTTTTCCTGCTGATTTTAACATCTGTTTTTGATCATAACACGGTAATCTTGGATAACTAACCAGTAATTACAAATTTCGCCACAAGTGACTGCCTATTAAGCCCACATAGATTCTAAATCACCTTTGAGAGACAAATGACCATACCACCCAATTGTCATGGTAAAATTATGCCTTGCCCGAGGATTGAACCGGTAACTTCCAAAATACTAACACGATGGTCTCCCTTTTGAGCTAAGATGCCAGACAAATAATGATATGGTAATCTACTATACTTAGATATTAATCACAACAAATAAATACCATGAATGGCATTAATTCTAAAGTTAGGCACCTTTTTCTTTTTTCTTTTTCTTTCTTAGACATGCTGACTGCTCAGGAAAGAATAATGTACTACCGTAGAAATGTTTTCACTTAAAAAACATTAAATACAGCATAGCATTGCAAGTATTATGACCATTAGAACAAAAAAAATTCCGTAGAGTTGCTGTTAATACAATTCACGACTCTTATTCAATACAGATGTCTCCATGGACCTTTTAAGGCCTATCTATTCCTGTTGTCTTCGTAATGGGCAAATAATTGGCTCTTTCAACCCCGTATTTGCTTTTACAGTTCGAGGGAATTTCGCCTGAGTGTTTTCTTTGAAGTTCAATTTAGCATGTAAACCTTCTGACACCAAAAATACACAACGGGAGTTTTGAAAAGCTATGAAATTATTTTTGATGTAACTCAAGCTGATGTTATTTTCGTATGGTTTATTGTATAAAAAAACGATCCAATATCAATATTTTCTTCCCTTTGGCTGAACAGTTGTAGAAACTTAATGGCATTCAGCATCTTTCAAAGTAGAGTCATAAATTCCTTTTTTATTTAATAAATTCGACAATTAGTGCTTTGTAAACATTTCACTTAATTGTGTTACCAATCTAAAAACATGGCCTTTTGATACAGTTGAACCTGTGAAACAGGCCATCATTGAATAAAATTTATTGTATCATAGTTTGGAGACCTTTCTGTTGAAAATGTGTCAGGGTTAAATCGTATACATATACATGCACAGTGCGTTAACTGGAGTGCGGGTATTAGTTACCCGCACTCCAGAGCATGCCCATTGATTGGCTCATTTTTGCTGGGGTTTACATATTGTGACGGCAGTGAAAGTGAAATCGACAGAAATGTCATATTTAGATGCTCGTTCATTGGTTCATTTTTGCCAGGGTTTCATATTGTAACAACAGGGAACGTGTTTTTATGTTTGACTATGATACAAAAGAGAAAGAACACCAAAACACTCGGTAATCTGATTAATACTCGGGGGGCTACGCCCCCTCGTACAAATCAGATAACCTCGTGTTTCGGTGCTCTTTCTATTACATATTTCTCATTTTTGAAAGATTGTTTATTCGACATACCCAGTGTAAATCTAGACTCAAAACTGTTTGTTTGTGCTATTTTTATCATCAAACCACTTAAATTCATGCTAAAATATTTCAATTCTAGGTCTAGAGAAATCTTTTTCAAAACAAGAGACGCGAGACAGGACACTTTACTGTTCTAAGTGCTTGTTTATATAACAGCACCCTGGATTATGCAGGAATTTCATAAAGGGGAATAATTCAAAGATAATCAAAGCAAGATTTATGGACCATAATCAGTGACCGCAAATCGAAACATAGAAATGTTTGTGAAATTTTATATGAATACATTCAGCAGTTGTATGGATAGAACTTGCAAGGAAAACATTAACCAGGAATTTCCAAGTTCATGAAGGGGAATAATTCAACAAAAGTCCATTACTATAATTATTGGCCATGCTACAATTATTGGCCTTTGACAATTACAATCTTCAACTTTAAACAAGTTTGTGGAGATCCCTGTCCATGCAAAACCTGTATTAGCAATTTCATAAGTTCATCAACAGGTATACTTCATTCAAAATCAAAGCTAGAGTTATGGCTTTGATCAACAGTCTTGAGTAGCTTATTCAATATAAAACTGTAAACACCCTAACCAAATGTTAAGCCAACAGTGTGAAGGAATCAGAAAAATTCTGCAGCATGACATGTGTCTCGCCTATAACTTAAAACACATGATTGAATCTAAGGTCTGCTGTGGCAGATCACATTTTAACATGTACACTAATCATTATATAATCACAAATATTCAATGTTGTATTTACCGTAATCTGCCATCAGCTGCAGCAGCGCCCCCTGGTATAATTTTTGTTATAAATATACTTGGATCGTCGTCTATATGTGGGTTATCACTTCCGCCAGCAATACTAAATCCCAGCCCTGTTGTACCCTGTAAATGAACAATAAGTCATCACTTAGTACCTGATATAGTAAGTTCAATTATAAACTCAATAATACAGGTTCAGTCTTCTTTTGAGCAGAATGATGGAACATTAAAAACAAGTTAATAACAGAGAACCATTGTTAATGATATTAACCTCTTTAAAGATGATTGGCACTATATGTATGGGGTGTATGTAGTAAGGTCTATTTATTGCTACAAAGACAGCTTTGATAGCTTTAAATGCTCCACCATACCTTTTTTAGCAGTATCTTTAAAGCTGTACTTTCATACTTAGTACAGTACTATCTATACAGTACTATAGAACACACTATTTAAAACACTTACATTATCTTACCTAGATAGTGATTATAATGATATACCAAACCCTTCATAAAACACTACAAACCTACACCTTACCCTTTACATAAAACTCATATAACACCTACACCTTACCCTTTACATAAAACTCATATAACATTTATCTATAAATCTATACCTTACCCTTTTTATGATAGTTTGTTTATATTGGGTTATACGTACAGTATAGGTCATATGTCCATGTTCCAGTTTAACTGGTGGAGGAGGACCTCAGGTGCTTAACTGTGCAGTTTCAGGCACAAACAGGCAACTGAGTAGAACCACCGACATTCCGTAAGCTAGCTGAATAGCTACCTCACATGAATAAATCCAAAGTCCCTGTTGGGATTCAAACCCACAGTGGTGAGGGGTAAGTAGTTTGAATTCAAGGACCTTAACCACTCGGCCATTGAGGATGTCCCTTTTATAATAGTACCTGACCCTTTTTCACTATTTTTAAAGCTATAAGTTACTTTCATATACAAAACTATATTACTTTTCATATACAAAACTATTTAATTATAATACTTTTAACCATACACTTCATACAGCCCTTTTTATAAACCTATACCTTACACTAAGAAACTAACCCATACTGTTACAAACTATGAACCTATACCATACCCTGTATCATACAAAAACTATAAACCTATACCTTACCCTTTCTAATGCAATTTCTTCATATTCCCATTCTCCTTCCCCATTCATCTGAAAAGACAAAAATAGAAAACATTAGACATTCAGTATAGCTAAAATCTGTTTAAAACATCTACTTTGTAGCAAATTACCTTTCAACTTAAAAAAAAATCTCTGGCAAACACTTTCACCTTTGTGCACTTCTTTATGTCTTGTCTATTATATTTGAGCAGAAAGTCTAATACTGTATGGCAATATATTCAAAGAGTTCCGCATGCTCTGTGGTACTACCACATAATTACACAGCTGTTCTGTAAACAATATATTGATTGCATCAGTGAATCAGCTGTAATGTAAGAGAATCGAAATCATATTTTACAAGAATATCGTATTATATATATTTAAAAACACTTATCCTGCTGAAACTGAAAGTGATTAACTCAGCCACCAGTTTAGAACCAGGGAGTCTGTACGTTCATGCAGTCTGACCAGGCTCTATAGTGTTGACTAACTAACTTTAAATTATCATCTTGATATCCCCAAAATTAATAATGGACGTTCCCAAAAATGGAAGATTCGCAAGTCCATTTCAGCAAGTGATAGGTTAAAATAGTTCAACTTTTGGGTAACAGCAAGATGCGTTGTTTGTTGTTGTTTTTGCGTGTTGATTTGTTGTTTTTTTTGTTGTTGTTTTTTTTTTCCTTCAAAATGTTCTCTAACTAGGCATTTGCCAAGGGAAGCAGTTGCCTAGTGGCTAAGGTGTTTGCATCTCCACCCAGGGGCAGGCACTACTTGGGTCACAATCATAAGGAAATATCTATGATTTTGTTGTTTATTTATTTCTTTGACACAAGAATGCTACTGAAGTAACATAGCACTGTTTGGCTAAATCTACGGGCATTAAGTACAGAGCAAGATATTTCTTTGATAGCAATTGTCTGTAACATAATTTTGATATGAGCCGCGTCACGACAAAACCAACATAATGGGTTTGCGACCAGCATGGATCCAGACCAGCCTGCGCTTCCGCGCAGTCTGATCAGGATCCATGCTGTTCACTTACAAACCCTATTACGAGTAGAGAAACTGATAGCGAACAGCATGGATCCTGATCAGACTGCGCGGATGCGCAGGCTGGTCTGGATCCATGCTGGTCGCAAACCCATTATGTTGGTTTTGTCGTGACACGGCTCATATATTATGCATGATGTAATCAGCAATACTGCAAAGTTCTGCTGCACTTTGAATTTCAGAACTATTCATAACTATTCAATATAAGTTTAGAGCAGTATTTATTACCATATGACTACTGTGTGACTAATGCAGTATTTAGGGCTATTTTGTATACATATTTTGACATTTATTTGTTAATTTTGTTTGTCTGTTTGATTGGGTTTTATGTCACACCGACACAGTATATAATATATTTTGTCAATTTACATGGATTGGAAGTGTCGGTTGCAATGGGCAAATTACTTTCTTTGTTCACTTCACTATATTTTACTTTTAAAATACATTTTCAAAATTTTCATGAATATTAGCTTGAATCTTGAGACATGCTGCTTTAAGACATATTACTTGTTAAGTCACTTTGAAAACGACATCATCAGCAATAGATCCTAACCACCATATTCTGTATAAAACTATACAATTGAATTAAAAAAAGAGAAATATATGACTGAAAAGAAACACCCAATAAATTTAAAAGAACATAATTATAGTGTTTTATTCTGCCAAACAGTTCCATAAATTTATATGATTTTTCATAAATTTATATACAGTGGAACCTGTCTAATCCGAACTCGTCCGGACCAGAAGAAAAGTTCGGATAAGAAAGGTTTCCGGATAAGAAAGGTTTCCGAATTAGAAGTTTCTTTTACATATTTGTTCATATTACATGTATTTGCAAAATAGTTTAGGGAAAGAAAACGGGAATGAATTTGAAATTGCAATTTAGATATTTTATTTTTGCAGTCTCATATCGTTCATTCTAATGCATGTGAATACAAAAATAAAGAAATGAAAATAAATAAATAGGCAAAAAAATATTATGTCCTCAAGGGTAAATTAACCTACGATGTAAAACAGGAGGCGGAGACATAATTAAATATTCGTACCAGCATTTGTCAATTGTTGTTTACTCTTATCCCATTCAGCGACTATCCGAATTCACTGACAGTTTCTATTAATTTTCATTGCTTAATCACGTATCATTGAATCCATTACAAAGGATTAAAAGATATTTTTATTGCATTTTATCAAAATATTTATTGAAGGTGACGAAAAACAATCAATTAAGCAATTATAGAAGATATGAAGGCAAGCTAAGTGTAATTTTCACACCTTCACAGATCATACGTTTCACCCATTAATCAAGTGAAATAACACATCAGTTTGGTGTATGTTTACACCTGCAAGATGTGCGATTATTTGTTATTTTGAATGAAGGTGTGACATTTGGCAAAATCTGAGAGGTAAATTTTAGAGTAAAATAAGAACAAAAATTGAAAAAAATCGTCCGGAATTCGGAGTAGACAGGTTCCGGATCCGAAAGGTTTTTTACTATTGAAAATAGAACGAATAAAATCGGGACCGGACACTTCGTTCGGATAAGAAAGGATTCCGGATTAGAAGGGTTCGGATTAGCAAGGCTCCACTGTACATCATATATTTCTTTGTAACTGAATGCCTCTGACAAAAATCTCCGAGGGAATCGGCATGTAATCTTGTAATGTTTACAGACGTTTATTTGGAGTGCATGATGATGCCTGAAGAGATTATGATGTGAATTCTTCAGAATAAATAACTTTCAATCATGAAATAGATCCTATCTCTTAAACAGCAATATCATGCAGCAAAAAACGATAAACAACACTTCATTCATTCCATGTCGAGTTGTCTCCCTTTTGTCTATCTCTTGTTTACACAAATTGCCTATTAAATTAAAATAGAACATTTTTTAAAACAACTCTTCTAAAACTTAATGACTGGCCAAGAAAATGGCCTTTGAAGACAAACCGACTGACTGTGAAAACATTAAGGCATCCAAATTTAATAGCACACTAAATCATACTTCAGTCTTAAGGAGAGCGGTCGCCTAGTGGTTAAGGTGTCTGCCTCTCAAACCCAGAGATCATTAGTTCAAGCCCTAATTGGGTCACGATCATGTTTCTTGATATGACACCAGTACTGGTTGGTCAAAAATTATTAAAAGTTGCAAGAACTAATGTTTCACAATCAAGCTTAAATAAATATGTTTTAACCAAATCAACAAACACCAGTCATTATAATGCATTATGTAATTTAACCCTTAAGCAGCCTCACAGCACCAATGCCATCAGTGCCCTCTGATTTTTTTCAAATAATGCAGACTAAATACTTTTGTACAATGGGATTTTTAAAGAATTTTCTTATGTGTGTCTGTGTGGACCTAACCAAAGAGAGGAAAGTTAAAACATTGAATTTGAGCTTTCAAAATTACACAACTCAAAGTTCAATGCTTTTTAAAAGATCTATCCTCTAAGAAAATCATTTCTTTCATTTCAAGCAAGATCAAAATAATTCCAATAAGCCATGATTATAAAAGTGTTTGAATGAATACTACTTTCATATATACAAAAGTATCTGTATTTCTATTTCCTATTCATAACATTAACATTATGATCCTTTTGAAACTGTAAAAGCAGCTGGCCTGTCATTTCGTAATATCAAGCAATATAAAAGAAAACAAATATTTGCCTAGAGATAAACAAAAAATGGTTAGCAGCATTCATTTCCAGGAAGATTTCTGGGGCATTTAATCCAGCAAATTTCCTAAAATTATCTCCAATAATCCACATAATCCCTTTAGTTTAATCAGACTCCCATAATTACTCCAGGAAAATAACTGTCTGTTAGGTTGACCCAATATCCAAAGTAATTACAACAAAGATGATAAGCACTATATTGGAATGAAGGCTACCCTAGAATGAACTCCATGCCACCACTCATGGCAATAAAGTGAGTGACCTCAACCTATAACTCTGTGATATAAATAGGCCTGGCAGGTAAAACCCATCAAAGTGCATGAAGTTTCAAATGGACAGACGACAGACCAGAACAATGTGACCTCAGACAGACTACAGACCAGAACAATATGCCCTCGGATAGTAGACAGACCAGAGCAATATGCCCTTGGATAGATGACAGACCAGAGCAATATGCCCTTGGATAGATGACGACCAGAGAAATTTATGCCCTTGGATAGTAGACAGGCCAGAACAATATGCCCTCGGATAGAAGACAGACCAGAGCAATATGCCCTCGGATAGTAGATAGACCAGAACAATATGCCCTTGGATAGATGACAGACCAGAGCAATATGCCCTTGGAAAGAAGACAGACCAGAACAATATGCCCTTGGATAGAAGACAGACCAGAACAATATGCCCTTGGATAGAAGACAGACCAGAACAATATGCCCTTGGATAGAAGACAGGCCAGAACAATATGCCCTTGGAAAGAAGACAGACCAGAGCAATATGCCCTTGGAAAGAAGACAGACCAGAGCAATATGCCCTTGGATAGTAGACAGGCCAGAACAATATGCCCTTGGATAGAAACAGACAGACCAGAGCAATATGCCCTTGGATAGTAGACAGGCCAGAACAATATGCCCTTGGATAGAAGACAGACCAGAACAATATGCCCTTGGATAGAAAGACAGACCAGAACAATATGCCCTTGGAAAGAAGACAGACCAGAGCAATATGCCCTTGGAAAGAAGACAGACCAGAACAATATGCCCTGGGACAGAAGACGACTGACAGAACAATATGCCCTGGGACAGAAGACAATATGCCCTCAGACAGAAGTCAGACCAGAACAATATGCCCTCTGATAGAAGACAGACCAGAACAATATGCCCTTGGATAGAAGACAGACCAGAACAATATGCCCTTGGACAGAAGACAGACCAGAACAATATGCCCTCGGATAGTAGACAGATCAGAGCAATATGACCTTGGATAGAAGACAGACCAGAGCAATATGCCCTTGGATAGAAGACAGACCAGAGCAATATGCCCTTGGAT